ATTAGTAATTTGAATGATTTACAAAAATGTACTTTTAAAAGTCTGTTGATACTTTATATTTTTAAAAAATTAGTAAAATACTTCTGAAATGCATTTAAAAAGAAGGCAATTAAAATACGTACTCCAAAGATGTGTATATTTTTCATTTGTTTTTATGTCCTGTGGACTGTGGGGTGGATTTTTTTTTCGTTGTTTGTTTCTTGAAGTGATGGCTTGTGCAGTTGCATGAACACAGTGACACTTCTTCTGTCTTTGGCTCCCTTCAGCTAAGACACTTGTGGAATTAATTTGAACTCCACCATCTATGGATTTGAAAAAAAAAAAAAATCTGGATCTAGCTGAAGTTGGTAATTAGTTAAAAGCTGTTGGGGGACTGGTTATGCTGTTGATTCGTGCCCCTGGTAGCAATAAAGCCATGTTTCCCTGGAAGGCCACACTGAACATACTTAATTTAAGTTGAACCTCTATTCAGCAAGAGATTTTTTAGTAGGGTCCCTCTCCTCACATTTTAGGAGTTAGAGACTGACATCTAGTCTTCTGACTAGTCTGAAGGGACCTCTTGTTTTCACTAGTGAGTCTCCAATGAGCTCAGTAAAGGAATTTTTAGTGAACTGAATCAATTCAGCAGCCACATCTCTGCCCTGCCTTGTGCTTGCCAGCGTTCTGGTGACCTTCAGGTTCAGCTAGTACTTAAAGTTAATTATGTCCTTAATGACTTCACAAACTTGTTTCCAGATATTATGAACTGGGGCAAGGTTCGAATGTAAACGTATGCCACTCTTTCTGTTGCTGAGATAAAGAATATTGAACTGTTACCTGCAGCATATCTTGTTGTCTGCAGTTAACAAACTTAAGTAAAGCCAAAGTTTGAGTGTCTTCCGGATTTCTAAGTAAATGCTTCCTAAATTCACAACCAAGGCTCAAGTCTGGATATAACTGTCTTCAGAGAGAGGTGTCTTCCTGCCATTTACTTTGTGTCTCTATATGCATTTTGGTAATAGATTTACACACACACACACACCCCCCCACCCCCAAAAGTCAGCTGTTAAGGGGTGTTTTGTTTTGTTTTGTTTTGTTTTGTTTTGTTTTGTTTTGTTTTTTAATTCAGAGTGTAGGCCAAGTTGCTAGGCAAAGTTTTTAACTTCCAGTTCCTGAGCTTGGTTTTGGTGTGGGCTGTTTGGCTTTTGTACAGGGATCTCAAAGGGTTGTTATTTTTTGACTCAGAGGTATTGAGATTACGACCCTTTATGAAAGGTATTAAAATATATTTTTCATAAAATGATGGGAGAGAGTATGAGTTTCATAATAATTATAGAATATAAATGTTTATTTTTTTTCAAGGTTGTTAATTTCAGTCTACTGAGTTTCATAATAATTATAGAATATAAACGTTTATTTTTTTTTCAAGGTTGTTAATTTCAGTCTATAATAGTTATTGAGGATTACACAGCAGTGATTCCTAAAAGACTAATTTCAAATAGGAATATTTTTGCTTTCATTAAACAATGGTATCACAAAACAAACTTGTTCTTCCAGTCTTACCTAGACTGCATAATGCATGTCATGGAAACATCAGGGCAAAATTACCAGGAATGATTTTATTTTATTCTTCTGCTCTTGTCTTTCCTAGTATTCCTAGGATACTTGTGATTCTCTATTCTTAGACCACAAGAGTATCTAAAAGAGGTACCTTTAGCTTCAAGATCAACACTTGAAAGCTTTAGCTCCAAAAATAAGCATGGTATGGATCAAACTACTCTTTCCTTCTCATTTACTTAGATTTTGAATGAGCATCTACCAGAATGTTATATAAATTATTGAATTTTCTGAATTATTCTTGTGTAGCTGTCTGTTGAACATGGCCATTTTGCAACAAGTGGATTACAAAAGACAGAAATGTAAGTTCTATACCAAAAGGTTTTGCAAGACAGTGACAGTGAGAGTTCTGTGTGTTTTTACTTTTCCACTGCATCCAAAAAGCTTTTTTTTTTCTGCACAATGATTTCAAAGGGCATGGTTCTGAACATTTTATTACACAGCTCCAATTTATTTTTTATTTTTCACCACATACATGTAACTGTCAATTAAATATCAGACGAGGAAATGAAAGTTGTATTATGTTTACTTGCTGTAGAAAGGTGAAATTTCAAGATGAAGGTAGCACCTACTTAACAAAGATAAAATGCAAGCAATTATTTGAATTTTTTTAAACATGGATGACTCTCTTAATATGTGTATATACCTGCGTGTGAAGGTCTTAGTATACATTACCAGAATAACTGAAATGTCAAATACACCCATATTTGCAGTCATACTGTAAGTTTTAATTAACATGTAGGTTGAAGTACAGCTTGTTTGGAAAGTAGGTTTTTAAAAAACCAATAACACCACCTCATTTTTAGGATTATTCTGGTACTGGCTTCTGCTCAGCTATACCTTACAGGCTCAGAGCTTTGTTCTCTTTGTCTCATTTACTCAGTCTGTTTTCTTTCTGTATGCAATGCAGAGTCAAGTTACCAACACATCTGAAACGATTTCTCTCCTTTCCCTTGGTAGCACTGGGTTTCCTAATTAAAGCTATACAATCCTGTAGGCACCGGGGTGACTTCATGCACCATCTGAATCCTGTCATTGCTTTGCTGAAAGTTTTTTTACTCTAAATAAGGATAAACAAATGCATAAACTTTTTCAAGAACAAAGTTTCTGTTACTGAATGATGTGGAAAACAGAACAAACATGGATTTAATTATTAGACTTAAAAGGTGTCTGTAAAAGAGTTGGAATTTGCTCTTTCATTATTAATTTACTTGAGGGGTTCACTCTTAATTTTTTGGTGGGGATAGCAGAGGGGAGGTCTAGTTGGAGTGGCTGAAGGAAGGTTGGGAAAGGACGGCTCTCACTTCCCTGGCGAAGAGTGTGCTGCCTTTCATCTTTCTCCTGTTTCTCCCATCCTTTTAAATTCAGTCAGGTTCGTGCATCCTTCCTTGTTGACTGAGGAAAACCAAAGCCCCGTAAGCACGTGCAAAAGCGAACATACTTCTCCAGCCCTACTAATCCTCCTAGCTCTGCTGATCTGATTTTGGGCTGTAAGCAGCTTCATTTTTGGAGTCTACTTTAAAGGATCATGTGATCATGAAGTTGTTCATATATTTAAATAATAACTTTCTGAAATGCTACTGTAGCCTTTTGTTCATTCCCTGCACTTTCTTATGCATTGCTCCTTTTATCATATCTGTAGGTTATTGATTTGGTTGACCAAATACAACAACTTCAGTGAGATATATATTTTCTGTACAAAAGTAGCTTAATTTTTCCATATAGGTATTATGTGGAAAGAGGTAAAAATAAGGTTTTTTTAAACATCACTTTTTTGCGTCTATATTAGAAAAAACAGGTTGAAAGAACGTGAATGTTCACTTGGGATTTTTTTATAAAAATATTCTTGTTGGTGGTTGACTTTGGTTTTTGAATCAATGTATTGACTTTGCAAGAAAGAAAGTTTCCCCACTGCTGTTTTTGCCCATTTAGCAGACACCCTGAACAGCAATTATCTGATCTGTAACCTCCAAAGACTGTGTCACTGTTAAAAGAGTACAGCTGGTACTGTTGAGAAATGTTGTTACTTTCTGTTAATTTTTCATTGCTGCAGAAGTTAAAATCTTTAAACCGGAGAGAGATAAGAGTCACAGTGGCACTCTTTTGAGAGGATCAGAAGAAAACCAGCACTGCATACCAGCATCAAAGTCAGTGGTGGCAACTGATGATGTGTATCCCAGGAGATATGGTTACACTTCTGGGAATTCATTTCCATTTTGTGATCTGTCAGTTCTTACCTCTTCTTGACGTAGTTACAGAAGTTTAATACAAGTGCTATTTAAATCATTAAAAATAGAAATGTAGGAGAGTACTTGATGTTGAGTTATTGAATAAAGATAAGGAAAGTATGACCCTAGATCTGGAATCTGTTATTTTTAATTGGCAGTAGCTAAGCAGAAATACTTTAAAACATTTGTATTCTTGTTGGATTAATTTTGTGGTTGGCTCCTGCATGATCTGGCATTCTGCAATAGTGAGTTTAAGAAAGCATTTTTGATTTTATACACCTATTACCAAATGGATAGCTGGTTCTTCAGGCCTGAATATTAGGGAAGTGGAAATGTTAAGGTCAAAAGGTATATATAAAACATCAACACAGACCAGTCTTTATTATTGTTCGTTGTCTACTTAGAAACAGACTATATATTAAGCTGTAGGTTCTAAGTAACTTTATAGGCTTATGGTTTAATACAATGAAATAACTTGATCCTTTTTAGACTTTTTGTTGGAGTTTATAGTTTTGACTTAATTTGAATTCAGAAGTGAACTCCAGGGCCTGAGACAGTAATAAGTTAAGTGAGAAAACACTTAGTAGGGTTGGAATAGAGTGAAAAGTACTGCTTCCTTTTTCCCCCTCGCATCT